GGAGTATAGTGTGCACTTTAGACGTACTATTTTAGGCTGCGTTTACACGACAACGCTGGGGGCGAAAACGCAACGAAATCCTTTCGGATCCATGGTTCATTTACACGGTACGCGGAGCAAAACGTAAAAGTTGTACACCAAAACGGAAGAAAACCAAAACGCTGGCCAAGGTGGAAGAATTTGAAAACGGAAATGTTCTGCCGGATAAATTTGTGTGTGTAAACAGTCGAAACGGTGTGCTGGCCTCGTTTTCCGTCACTTTTGTTTCGTTTTCGGCCGTTTACACGGATCCGACAATCCAAAAAATTGTTTTTACAATTTTCGTCATGTGATGTGGGTTGTCGTGTGCCTGTTTTCAACCATTGCTTGAGTGTGATTGGTGCTTCCACGGCAACACTTGGCACATGACGAACTTTGGCGGATCCTTTGCTCTCGTGTAGACGCTTGAAAACGGTACAAACGGAGACCACCTCGGATCGGCTTTGATCGTGTAAACGTACGAAAACGAAAAAAGAAATGCGGGACTGAAAACGGAAAACTGGCCGTGCGTTGTCGTGTAAACGCAGCCTAAGGCCCTAAATCGCAGGTGCGCACTATGCTCCGAATACGAAATGCATGTACTTCAATGAAGATTGAATTGCGCACCCCCAATGAAGATTGGGGGTGTGCATTATACAAAGGTGCGGACTATACTCCGAAAAATACGGTACCGTAAAGTACCGTTGATCCCCCCCCCCCCCCACGCCATGTCGCTTCCCAGCTGGTTTTCGGCAGTGGGCGGGAATTAGATCAAGGCTGTCAAGTGCAGTACGATGTACAACAACGTAGAAGTTCAGACTCGATGTGCTGGATTGTGCACATGTTCATGCTCGATTGGCAAATATTGTGTACAGCAGTGCATGCGTCGGTTCAACATCGTATTTTCGTTGTATACGCCGAAGTCGCTTCACAGGTAGAAAACCGACAGGGGGTGGGAATTAGAGAGGGGGCTGATCAACGGTACTTTACGGTACTTTACGACGGTACTTTCAACAAGGGTACATGTACAACACACAGTACAACCAAAGACAGTATCTACCAAAAAAAATCGGTTTAGTGCGCCGGTTGGCAAGGGTTCCGGATAAACAAGTGCCGGATTAGAGAGGGACGACTGTATACTGCATATGTGTATAATAGTATACACTACACTTTGTATACTACACATGTGTATATTACACACTACACGAGTTCATCTACATACTGCCCTGAGTGCAAATGTGTATTCCATACTGCAAGTGTGCAGATAAAATTGAATAGTTCATCGCGATTCGACAGAACTCCAATCTCCAAACCCGGTCTTATTCATGGAGCGAATAAATCTTTCCGTTGCCAACACCACACACATGCAATAATCTAACTTTGTTACTAGAAGAGTACGTTCTCACTCCCCATGCACACCTTGTCAACGCGACACACTATAATTATAGCCACGCACTGCTGCTTACCGGTTGATGATGAAGTTAGACGCGATCAGCATGTGCATGCTCCATTCATTGCCCTGACACTCGTAGCCTGTACAGTGTACGCACAACATACAAAGCACACACACTCCATATAATACACTGCAACATGTCAAAGGTGACAGCTCAAGGGGCCTCAAAAATATTGACGCTGGTCATGCATGCTTGGGAAGGCGCACACAGAAATAAAATAAAAAAGTAAAAAAGAGACCAGGGATGCAGCCGATGTACAGTTGTTCAACGAGCAGCCGCATTCGTTGCAGTACATATTCGAACATTCACTGCAGCACAACGTGTTTGAACTTCTTCCCACCCACCTACCTAATAGAGCCAGGTCAAAGACAAGTCTGCCAAGGCCAGCTCCAGGTACCAAAACTCGAGGTGGTGCAGCATCTTCTTCACTGCAAGCACGCCAAGAGGGCAACAATGACGGCAATGACAACAGCAGCAGAAGCAGCAGCAACAGAAGCAGCAGCAGCCACAACAACAACAACAACAACAACAACAACAACAACAACAACAACAACAACAACAACAACAACAACAACAACATCAACAACAACAACAACAACAACAACAACAACAACAACAACAACAACAACAACAAAGAAAAGAGGAATTGTAAAGAGAAAAGGACCTATAAGTTACTAGTTATGACTAACAGTCCACCAAGGTAACGAGATAATATACAGTCAGATAGTGGGACAAGGCTGACAAGGATATGGAGACATTCGACGACCTGACACCTAGTTCCAACACATCTACGAAGCGCAAACCAACAACCTTCCAACTTGGAAGGCTCAGGTGCGGAAAGATCCAATGAGGGGAAGGGATGTGCCACGAAGATGTGCACGAGCTATGTCCCTCGGCAACAAAGAATATCGAATGTTACGGGATGATGATGACGATGATGATGACGAGACTAGTAAGACTATTGGACAAACCGGTCTAACTTAAACTACAACTCGAAAACGCAAGGCTTGGTGGACAGTTAGTCATAACTAGTAACTTATAGGTCCTTTTTTCTTTACAAATTACTATTGGCTCAACATCCGAGTTTTTAAAAAGAGGACTTCTTATGAGAGAGAGAGAGAGAGAGAGAGAGAGAGAGAGAGAGAGAGAGAGAGAGAGAGAGAGAGAGAGAGTGATTGAGAGTAGTAAAGCAACATGCAGCCCCGTGCACCTATGTCCTTTTCAAGTTTTATCATAAAGTACACATAAGTACATGTACACAAAGGAACTAGAACTACTCAGTATTTCACACACAACACAGCACAGTACAGTACAGTACAGCACTTGTATTCCTGATTTGATGCATCACCCAAGACATTAGAATATTGATACACAGCATGGCTAACACCGAAAAGCAGGTTTGTCTAAACACTAACACACTGCGTGTACCGTGTTACACACAGGAGAGAGCAGTACAGGTTTAGAAGCACGACTTGGTGGCTGCACTTCAATACCGTATGCAGGTGGTTAGTGTAGTTACAGTCATCAGTTACAGTGTCATGTTCCATCCACTGGAACAACACAATACAGGTGCAGCTGAAGTTTAAAGTAAGCATCACTGTATCCCACACATCCTAGAATACATGCATTTCAATAGATGTACTACTTTTGAAGTACTAGGATTAACGTTACACACACACACACGCGCGCGCGCGCGCACACACACACACACACAAACGGACGCACACATGCACTCACACATACTGGGTGACTTGCCATCCGTACACACCTGGGCAGTGGACAGTAGTGTTTGAGCTGAGTTATGATAGGACCATAGCACGCTTCACGTTCTGCTACACCCTGAAACGAACACACACACACACACACACACACACACGTGCGCACAGATGCACACACACAAACACACACACACACATACACACACACATACACGCACAAACAAACGCACACACGATCAGCTCAAGGTGTCTGGCCATCTCCAAAAGAAGCACCTGCACAAACAAACTCAGTCCAAACATAACATAAACACTACCAGAACATACTGGTACCCTGACCAAACTACACACTAAAATATGTAGAACTCTTTGCGTGAACACCACGCACATAAAATGTACAGAAACTTGCAACTCTTTGCGTGATCAGCACGCACATGTCGTGTCCAGAAACTTGCACCCAGGCCATGCATGAAGAGATACGAAGTAGGAAGTGAGATACGGGCAGACACCCAAAATACATATAATGCCTAATAGTGCCTATCCAATGCTGTACTACAGCTGTAGTAGTGTACTAGTAGTGTATGGACTATAGGTGACTACAGTCCATTTCAAAACTATAGACCCGTACCTAGGCAAAAACCGTTACGCCAGCATCTATACCACATAAAATCTGTGATCACTTTGTGCATACATTTTTCCAAATTGGGCGTCTGTTATCCAATCGTTTAGAAACTATAATGAGAATAATTGTGGAGCGGACCTGTGCAATATTCCGAAAACTATTCTCAAAAAGTTCCAGCCAAATTTGAAATATTTCAAAAACACTGCGCGTCTATAGTTTTGAAATGGACTGTAAGGTGTTAGATGCCTGCAGCACAGTGGCAACAGGTGTGACCCATCTAGTGCTGATACAATATGCTGCTGTATTGTGATCTGATGCTGCAGCCATAGCACTGCAAACATAGTGCTGATACAATATGCTGCTGTATTGTGATCTGATGCTGCAGCCATAGCACTGCAAACATAGTGCTGAAACAATATGCTGCTGTATTATGATCTGATGCTGCAGCTATAGCACATGTACTGCAAACATAGTGCTGATACAGTGATCTGCTATTGTGATCTGGTGCTGGTGTCTCCAGTGTGAGATAGCCATCGCCAGGAAAGCCTAAGCTCTTATTAAGACAGAGACCACTACCCATACATCAATCAGGTGCGAAGTGAAATGGCGCACATGAAACATTGCACCGGAATTCAGCAGCACTGCATAATTCGTCATTGGCCATACCTCTGCACTCCAATCTCGGTAAAACTGCTTTAGCGTCGTCATCACCTTGTCCATGGTGAACGGCTCCGGTTCGTCGGCAATGTGCGCTGGCCTCTTCTGTTTCCTATTACCGTGAGTCTGATCATTGCCTGGCGCGGCTTCATCGCCACGACGGTGTTGATGACCGCATGTGCCACTGCGATCGTCGAAATCTGGCACCTAGGTAGGACGAGAGAAGAGAAAGTCCGCTCCGTAAGCGGCTGGCCGTGTGTGTGTGTGTGTTGTGTGTGTGTGTTGTGTGTTGTGTGTGTGTGTGTGTGTGTGTGTGTGTGTGTGTGCGTGTGTGTGTGTGTGTGTGTGTGTGTGTGTGTGCGTGTCCCCCATATGGTGCAGTGGTATGTGCAGCGATTTCCAATCGATAGGTTGCGGGTTCGATTCCCGACGATTATGGTCACACACGTCTTTCTTCTCTTTCTCAGACTCCTCCTGACTTTTCTTTCATTCTCCTGGGTGGTTACCAACAGCCAGTGCATGCCGGAGTATGTG